TAGGTTTTGTAGACTGGTCTGTGGGATTTGAAAGATATTGAACTGAATTTGCTCCTAAATCATTACAAAATAGACTCGTCGGTGAAAACGCCGTGGCACAAACACATGGAAGTCGATCCGGATTATCGGCTTCTAGCGCCGTGTAGTTTCTCCTATCATGTAACTATTTATCAGACAGAAACGACATGAGCATATTCAAATTAACTACAAAAACCGTTGACGAAGATCCTTCTTGTTGTTAAAGTTGGATCTCTAGGCAAAGAGATCTAATCAGCTAAAATCAATTTTAAAGACAAAAAAACGAGAAGTCCAAAGACTACTGCGAAGCTGATAACAACATGTATTCAGTGCTCTTTTAGAACAATATTTCGGCTGGCCATACCAGGGCAGGTTTATAGATGTTACTGAATTTATGACAGGAATTACAATATTATATAGAACGATGGAGAATGTCGCAATAAAAATTGTTCAAAAGGGAGAGGCGGAAATGACATGCAACATAAAAATCGTTAGCTTAGGGGCCCATGACGCGGAGCCTATATCTCCCATACAAGCCCTTGGAGTCAACCCTTTCCCGAGTAGATTTATAATTAGAACAGTTCCAAAAGGAGGCTTTGCGCGCCCACAGAGGGAAGAGCCAATCGCAACGACGTTACGAGAGTGTTATAGTCCTTCATCAAACAGAATGGAAGGAAATAGATTATATTGTGGAGAATTTTCAACTCTGACTGTGTAAATCTTAATTTTGGCTGCTTGTCTCACATTAAGAGGTCATGAAGCTGGTGTGTTCCAAGTATATTGATTAATCATTTCCTGCAGTTTATTCAGTGTCTGTTTTTCTGGCAGGATTCGATTCTAGCACCGGCTTTCTTCAGCCAGTTTTTTTATTTCGGCTAAATGACCCTCCGTATTAATCAAAGTTTTAGTTTTTTTTAAGGTTTTCTCCGAAATGCGTTTATCTCAAAAATGCTTGCACTTGTTTTGTCCCTCACTGTGATGATTCCCTGCTATGTTTTCCAGGCAAGTTAATCGATAAACCGATAGTCGATAATAATCGATAGTAATCGAAATCAATCATCGATGAAATCGATAAAGAAAAGAAGTTGTGACTGCAATTAATATCGATTATCGATAATGATTGATTTATCTATTGTTTTTGATTTCTATCGTCCGTACAGTATCATTGAGTCATTTAGTAGTGGTATGTTGTGCTGCGGGTTTTATATTTGATTTCAAGGTTTAGTTTTTTTTCCAGGTACTAAAACTAAAAGACAGTTAACATTGTGTTAATTACGCTTATTTGTATGCACAGTGAAAAAACAGCTTTCGCCGAACCAAGTACGACCCCTTATGCCAAAAGATGGCAGCAATCTGGAGGACTTCAATGCTCGTGTATTCAATTGGATTCCATTGTCAGCGAGATTGTAAGGAAAGAAATGTAAGATGCAGTCTATGGCGCAGGATTAAATGGACATGAAAAGATCTATTAACACAAACCAGGAAACGAAAGAAACAAAAATGGAACGTGATGAAGATTGCGCCTGGAGTAGCTACTGAAGTCAAAAGGAACATGTGTTAAGCTTAAGCCGGTCTCATGGGTGTCGCTTGCCTAATAGCATCGGCATGTTCAGAATATTCTCTTCAAGATTATTGCTTGCTGTCGATAACTATCGATTGTTATCGATTTTTGTTCATCGATAATAATCGATAAATTATTTTTTCTGTGACTTCGCTTTTTATTGATTTCCGATATCAATCGATATCAATCGGCGGATTAAATCGATTGATTTCCGATATCGATTTCTATCGATTAACTACGTCTTGTTTTTTTGGAACACTGGGCCCAGCTCTCTTACATTGTTTTTTCACGAAAAGTGATCAACAAATGCGGCGGAAACAATTTGTAGCATAAACTGGAGCCACGCTAACTGCTGAGAATATTGTCCTGTTAGTCAGTCATAATTCTTTAGGCGCAGATGCAATCCATTTTGTTTCTTAAGATAAGTGGGTCTTTGGACTGGAGCGCGATGTCATAAAGTCCTCCGTTGGTAATTGCTTTTCAGTTAGCTTCACAGTCGAGGTCGTCGAGCAACTGTTCTGTTCTGTTCAACTTTCGAAGTGCCAGTTTTTATCAGGCAACGCTCATGGTAATACAGGTTGTAAAGGAAGACTGCAATTTCGGAACTAAAGCATTCCTCGTTAGTTGCTACTTAGGTCAGGGGCACCCAACGACAGTTTTCTGTACGGCAATATCTGTTCGGAGAAGCAAAAATTGCCTAAAATTTTCTTTGCCTTGAGGAAGGCTAAGAATTTCTAGATGACCGTTCCATTTATGTCTAATTTTCGAAGCTTATCTAATAAATTCCGTACGATTTTCTGAAGATAATTTTTGGCATTCTACCCTCCAGCTTAAGCTATTTTTCGCAGAAAAAGGAAACCTAAATTTTTGGGATTCGATAATGCAATGGAAAGAGGAATCAGAAAAATTCTCTCTTCTTCTCTCATCACTAAGATTTTCGGGAAGATAAGACTGATGCCCTGGTAATTCGAAAAGACTCAAGTTGCCCTAGGATTACCGACTCAGATATAAATTTTATAGCGTCTATTCAGCGAGTGGTTTTGATTTTTGCCGTCATACATTCCCCATGAAAGCATGTACTTCGAAAAGAGTCGACGATTAAACGTTCTCTGGACTATTTGGAACTTTTCGATGGTCAGCGCAGAAAAAGTGCCAGGATCATTGGATTTTTGTCATCACCGTGGAATGGATTTCACCAGCTCAAGCACCGTGTGTAAAAGCAATGACCTAACAGGGGCACCCAACGACGGTCCTAAATGCATTGAAAACACAGGTAGCCCAAGCTCGAAATATGAGCATCGGCGAGCATCGGCATTGTTGCGTAACATTCAAAATATAAGGATATGTATGGGAAAAAAACCTATCGTTTCTGTAGCCTACGAAAATGAAAGGATTTCAATAAAAAACAGTGTTACGTCTCTCCTGTGTGGTCCGCGGGCCGATTTATAGCCTTTTTATGGGTTTTTATGTAAACGGTTTTCTCTCTAAATAAAGGTACCTTTATATAGACAAAAAAACCCCGGGGGAGGGACTCCGTATATGAACGGGGTGGGGATGCTCGTCGTCTCTCTTAGGGGTGTAAATTTCGGATTGTGGTCTCAGTTAGGGTGTTCTGGGCAAAACGCCATCATATATTTAGCCGTGAAGGTCTCGTTTAGGGTTTCACGTGAAAAAATATAAAAAGTAATATATTGTCTGTGTTTTAACATGGTCTCTTTGAGGGGTCAAAAAAAGCTTGGGCCACGCCCAGATCAGTGTCCTTTAGGGGTTTAATTCAAAATTTCCCACGAGCATCCCCACCCCTTTTATCTGCGGATTCCCCCCCGGGAGAAAACCGTTTTCATAAAAACCCATAAAACGGCCATAAATCGGCCCGTGGACCACACAGGAGAGACGTAACACTGTTTTTTATGAAAAACTGTTTTTCATTGAAATCCTTTCATTTTCGTAGGCTACAGAAACGATAGGTTTTTTTCCCATACAAATCCTTATATTTTGAATGTTACGCAACAATGCCGATGCTCGCCGATGCTCATATTTCGACCTTGGGCTACCTGTGTTGAAATTTTTTAGTCTACCCAGAGTGCTTTTAGACCTTTAGTTCAGAAATAAATTCTAACATGAGATGCTATGTCACGCAATGGTCACGGACAAGCCTGGTAGCCTGAGTGTCTGCAGCCACTCTCTCCTCCAGGAAAACTGACCGCCCAGTTAAAGTCGCCTTTTGGCGATTCTTGTTTCACAAGGCTTTGTGGCTTTTTTTTTTTTCCTGACAGGGCTAAGGTCAGCGCTACTCTGGCTCCAGAGGTCCGTTCTCAAAATACCTAATATGAAATAAACTGCGCTTACGGTTTGATAAGGTTCTCAAGACGGAGACAAGACGTTATTTTTTTCCCTCGGAGCTTCCCCCATGCTAGATGTAAAATTGCAGTTATTCAGCCTACAGTGGTTTCGAGTTTTGGGTGCTTCGTTTTCGATAGGTGCTTCGTTTTCGAGATTTAGGTGTTTCGTTTTCGAGTTTTGGGTGCTTCGTGCTTCGGTCTTCGTTTTCGAAACTACCCCTCTGGAACCCAGGGTAACTCAGCGCGCGAATGACGTCAGAGGGACTAATTTGCATTTTTTTTTTCTGGCAAAAGACAGGCAAACATGACATTTAAATGAAAAAAGTGAGACAAAAGTGAGGAATTCGCCAATGTTAAGTTCAGTTTGTTTGTCCGAGTTTCGGGTCTATAAATAGTAACTGCGCATAACGCTATTCTCTGCTGAAGTCATTACTTTTAATATACCTTTACCCATACACAAGATATGGGGAAGATAACAACAAATTTCATCAGGGAGAACTAACTATGATAATTTGCAGACAGAGCATTTTAAAAAACTTGAAAAAGTTGGACCAACTTTGACAAGCGTCAATCCAAGTCCATTTATGGTCCTTGAACTAATGATCCTTGTGGTCGGGTTAAAATGGAAATTTGAGTGGTTATGTACGCTTAACTTACTTCAAGTGACTGTTTTGTTGAATGAGCAATTAGAATTCAATTTCCTTTAGCTGATGGATATCTCGCCAAAACCCACTCAGTGTCACTAAGTCATTTGTTGTTGAGCTAAAAAATCGTTAAAAAATTCAATTCAAACGGATAAGTGATCACCTTGGCTGATTATAGATGTCGTCACCGGAAACGTACATTTTTGCTATTTTTGGATACGATTAAGTTTGTGGACTAATTTTACGAGCGTTCAACCAAGTTTAGGGATAAGCTTATTTTTCTCAGTACAAGGAAATAGTTATGTTAAGGGCAAAATAATTTTTGCAATTCTCTATTTCTGGTGACAGGTGGTAAACAATACAAAGTACTCCGTATTTATGTATGCTACGAATACACAGCTCAGCAGGTCAAACTTCCACATGATGTATGCATGGAACAAGCATTACTATTTACATAGGGTACGTTGGCGTGATATAATTTCAGGGCTGGTTCGGTTAATGATTTGAATCACGTACGCGAAGGTGATTTTAGGGAATTACATTTTTCAAGATAATTTTAGTTTATTGCGCCAGTCGAACATTGCGGGTACTGAAGAATGTCTGAGGCGCTGAATTCATCGGCGGATCCAAACTTCGATTTTTATCTATCGACTATTCAAGACAAAGGCTACTGGTTGACTTTAGCATTCGTTGGATTCATTTTGGCCTTCGCCATTATCATAGGAAACTCACTTCTTCTCTTCATAACTTACGAGGATTCTCGAAAAACGCTTCGTATTCCGCCATGTTTGTTGATCGCCAGTTTGAGCGCTTCTGACTTACTTCTGGGACTATTCAACGTTTCTCTCGTGGCGGTGAGAGATGTGTATCGTTATAAACAAGTGCCTATGCCTTTCTTTGGATTATTTAGAGGAATAATTTATACTGTTCTCACAACAACATTGTTCGTCAGCTGTAACTCAATAGTAGCGTTGTCAACAACTTGCTTGGTGGCGATAAGTAAGCCAATGGAATATAAAACGATCATTACTAAGAAAAGAGTCAAGATATTTATCGCTGTTTTATGGGTAATTTCTTTGTTCACCTGTATTCTACCTGTGACTAGCGTGTCCGAGGAAACATATACGATGATTTATCTTCACACGCACGCTACTGTACCGGCCATTTTGTTGACTGTGATTTACGCTAACGTGTTTCGCGCTCTCGCGCGGAGAACACGCGAAGTTCAACGAGAAGGTTACGACTCGATTGTTAGTAACGCACTGGAACGTGAGAAAAAAATGGTCAATGCCATTGTCATAATTCTTGCGTTGTTTTACATCACGTACACGCCTCAGTACATAACTCTTCATCTATTGTACTTTTGCGAATCATGCAAGAAATCGTTAACTTTCCACATGATCGATGTAGCCTTGTCTAGATTTTTGTACATTAATTCCGCTATCAATCCCTTTGTGTACGCTTGGAGACTGCCGACTTATCGCCAGGCCTTTCAAGATTGCTGGAAGATGTACCTTGGCAAACTTAGAATCACTTCACCTAAATCAATCCCTATTCCACTGCGTCAAAGGCCGAATGGAACGTTTTTGGATGGCAGGAGCAGAGCGCAAAGTCAGCTAACTATAACTGAATCATCCAACCTTTAAATTATTCTGTAAAAGTAAAGAGAAAGAAAAGTTAAGCAAGCGTTACTAAATAAACAAGTGAGAGAGCGCTTTCTGGACTGGACAGAATATTTCGCTCGATCGTTTTCTTCTTTAAGGAAAAGAAAAAGCTAACTTGTAGTATACGACTTCAGCAAGCGAGCCCGGGTCCCCCCCGGCCAAGTGAGGACGACTACAAACGTTAGGTCTAAATGATGTAACTGAACAGAACATCCGCAAGAAACAGGGACACCCAACGACAACTTTCGGAAGAATATCTAGAATTTTCGAAACATTTGTTGTAACATTTCTTGCTTGCCTGCCCCTAGGATTTTTCGAACATCCAAAAAATGGTATATTTGCCTATTTTTAACGGATTGTTACCCTAAAAAGGTCACCTAGAATTTTCGGAAGCCTTTTTTCTGGCTGAAATTTTCGAAAAGGTAAGTTTTGATCCCTATAATTTTCGGATCACTAGACTTTCAGCTAGGAAATCCGAACAGATGAAAAATTTTTAGGGGATAAAAATATGCCTATATCTACCGTTTAAATACTAAAATACGTTTAACAATGCTATGTTTAAGTGGTTTTGAACTATATTCTCGTTGGGTGCCCCTGAAGAAAGTTAAATGTGGCACATTTCTCTCTTCCGACGTTTCTTTACCCTGTGGGCAGACGTCTCCTAATTTCTTTGTTGCACGCGGAAAATTGTTCCTTTTCCGTGCTCATTTGAGGAAACGTCTTCACCACAAAAAGAAATATCAAATAGACAATCAAGGATCGTCGGAAAAGGTGAACCATTAACTTCCCAGCAAGAGAGAATGAGCTTAATATAGCTCATTCTCTCTTGCTTCCAAGTTATTCTTATGGTAATTTCTCGTAAACTGCTTGAAAATAGAGTCGGTTTAAGGCTTTAAATTTTGCTCCCTCAGTTTTCGTGACTTTGCGACCTTCATCAGCTTAAGGTCCTCAATAAAGAACGATAAAAAACCCTTAATACCTTTTTTAGCAATAGTTGAAGGAAAATCAGTCCCGTAGTTTCTATAATAAAAATAACACGAATAAAAATAAGCTTTTATTGTCGCTCCTTTGAAAAAATATGAATATTATTTAATCATTATTTCTGATAATTGTTTTTGTTTTTTACACGCTTTACTTCCCCGTTTCAATTTCTGAGGGAATTTTCTAGGCGTATAGCAATTTTCTAAAGCTTAGAAGGCCAAGGCGAGGAGGAATATTTTTTCTTTTGAGAAGCAAGTGAACGGGTTATAAAGGAGAAGACTCTGAGGCCTTCACCACTCCTCGCGGGTTACTCGAGTTCTACAAGGATATTGTGTTTCAGCTGTAGCCTACCACGGCTTCATCACGCGCCTCAGTGTGAAACACCGCTTCGATCTGCATGCATAATTCTTCATATAACATACATGAGCCTCAAAAATATTTACTTATTCAAACATGGAGAGTGATATTGGCAGATCTATGTTGGCCCTTTGATATTTTAGTACAATCAGTTTGAAGAATAATTCCCTGGTTAAAATTCATCTGTGTAGATTACGAACTGAAAATTTGATTTTAAAAAATTCAAAACTAATGGTCGCTACAGCTATTTCAATAAACGTCAAGAAAAGCAAACAGGCTGTAAGCCAAGACCTCCTCTCGTAAGCGACCTGACAAGCGCATAACCGACCACCTGTGCAAAACACCAAAGTTTCCCAAGTCAAAGCCCTATAATTAGAACCTCTCATAAGCGACCACGAACACTTTTGGGTCCCACGGTTTATAGTTTTCCATTGTTTTAATAGAGAGGTTAAACATGTTTACGTCTGACGGCAAACGCGAATTTGTGCCACGTGACCAAGTTTCCCTTTACTTTCGCCCCGTGTAAGGGAATCCGGATTCCGGAATCTGTGAAAATTTTGCTTGTAGAATCCAGAATCCGAGAAACTTTTGCTTGTGGAATCCGGAATACAGCTCAAGGAATCCAGAATCCAAGTTCATGTGACAAATGCTGGAATCAAGAGCCTGGAATCCGGAATCCATCCATAAGAAAATTGTTTTGACCTGTTTTATCTGTCGTTTATTTTCATTATTTTGAGAAAAATTTTTATCTATAAAAATTGTTTTGAGCTGTTTTTATCTGCTCATTTTCTATTTTGAGAAATCCTGAACTTAAATCTGACGTTTGCCGTATACGTGATGCTTAAACGCTCTAGTCTTTGTAACCTGTTAACACTCATCTAGTGCTATCCTTGTTTGCTGTACTAGTGCGCCAATCAGAGAATACGAAGAACTTAAGTGACAACATGGATGCAATGAACACCCTGTCAAAAAGTAGATGTACCGAGACCTCTTCTGGGTAAACGTTTCGGGAGGTTCGACTGTATTTTCAATTCCCCATGATTAACTGCCGAAAAGCATGTCATATAACAGACTAATGCGAGCTAAAACGTTGTTTAGACTATCCTGGGCATCAGAGGTCTTTTCCCGCGTGCAGAGGGAATCTTCGGTGTCTGCCGAAGACACACGCGCGGGCGAAACCTAGTTTATTGAGTAGGGACATTGATTGTTGGTTACAAAATTGCATCATATGTCTTTCACCATGTATCAGAACTTGTTGATAACTTATCGCAACAAGTTTACAAAAGATGGTTTTACCAACTCTACCAAAAATTAAATCCAGTATAGCCTTAAGGGTGTCTGAACAAAGTTTCTTTAATGGAGAGTGGTAACAAAGCGAGAGAAAATGTTATTATTAGACTAAACGGTTTCTTTTTATATTATTTTTTAAATTAATCGGCAACTTCGGCTGATTCTAGATACTGCATACACTCAAAATACTCCATCTAAAAAACATCGAATGATGTAAAGCTCTGCAATATATTATGTGTCTTTCTCACACAAGAGCGACCATTTTAGTGCTTACGTCTCCATTAAGGTTTATTGTCCTGTTTTGACTCCCAGATTTTGATAGCCACCAGTCGAGGTAAGAGAGTGAACCCTCGGAGCGACGTTGGAGTAAAACGTGCTCAGACCCCACACCGAGACTGTAAAAACAATGCTCGCAGCAGCGACTTTTCTTCGTTTGTAATGAAAGAGCTGGAAAAATGAGACAACTGGAAGTAGGATGTTTAAATTGGGAAGTAGGATGTAACTGGGTTTTCTAATCAGGATAGCTGGGATCTAAGATGAAAAAACAAACAAAAAAACAAACAAACAAACAAAAAAACAAGTAATAATGAACGTAAAAAGTCGGCGGCTTTCGGCGCCATCCGAAGCCATTCGAACTACACATGGGACGAACCTTATGCTAAACTGTAGAAAGAACAACAGTTTCGCTCATTAGCATTAGAAGAAAAAAGTTTCAATACTAACAAAAGCAAATTCTTCAAACAAACACGAGCGTCAGTTTCCTACCTTGACTGACAATTCAAAGTTTTTTGCTCAAGCCAAGATATTCTTTGCTCCTGCCGACAGTTGTATAAACAGTGCAAAGAACTTAGCATATTATGAACAATATTAATAAATATTAAAAAATGAACATTAAAATACTTGTTGTATACCAATTTTCTGAGTTGAATCAAAATAATTTCTTATATGTTTCTTCAATATTATTCACACGTTATACGAGCATAAGGGAAGCGTTACGTTAATGGAATGTGATATCGCAAGGGTGGCTTTGATATTTGGCTCATCCGTATACGTAATTAAAGGATTCGTGAGTAAATTTAAAGGTCATTCCAGTTGACTGCGTTATCGTTAGCTCTGCCAACCAAAATGTCGGCACTGAATTCTTCGGATCCAAACTTTGACATTTACCTGTCGATAATTCAAGACAAAGGCTACTGGTTGGCTTTAGCATTCGTTGGATTTGTTCTGGCCTTCACCATTATAATAGGAAACTCAGTTCTCCTCTTCATAACTTACAAGGATCCTCGAAAAACGCTTCGTACCCCACCATGTTTATTGATCTCCAATTTGAGCGCTTCTGACTTGCTTCTTGGGCTGTTAAACGTTTCTCTCGTGGCGGTGAGAGATGTGTATCGTTACAAGCAAGTAAATATGCCTTTCCTTGAATTATTCAGAGGTATTATGTCTACAGTTTTTATTACAACAATTTTCGTTAGTTGTTACTCAATAGTAGCTATGTCAACAACGTGCTTTGTGGCGATTAATAAGCCAATGGAATATAAAACAATCATCACTAAAAATAGAGTCAAGATATTTATCGCTGTTTTATGGATGATTTCTTTGTCGACCTGTGTTCTACCTGTGGCGAACGTTCCTGAGAAAACTTATACGATGATTTATCTTCACACGCACGCAACTGCACCAGCCATTTTGTTGACTGTGATTTACACGAACGTGTTTCGCGCTCTCTCGAGACGTACACGCGAAGTTCAAAGAGAGGGCTACAACTCTATGGCGAGTAAAGCACTGGAACGTGAGAAAAAAATGATCAAAGCAATTGTCATAATTCTTGGATTATTCTACATCACATACATGCCTCAGTATGTAGCTCTCCACCTATTGCACTTTTGTGAATCATGCAAGAAGTCGTTAACTTTCCACATGATTGATGTAGCCTTGTCTAGATTTTTATATATAAGTTCCGCTATCAATCCCTTCGTGTATGCTTGGAGAGTACCGAAGTATAACCAGGCCTTTCAAGACTGCTGGCAGATGTGCCGTGGTAAACTGATAAATACCTCCCCTAAATCGTTTGCGTCCTCTCTTCGTCAAAGTGGCATTGAAATGTCTGTGGGTGGTAGGGACAGAGCACAAAGCAAGCCAACTGAATCAACCAAGCTTTGATTTATCAGTCACAACTATGCGAAATCCTTGATATATTTCGATTGTTTTCAGGCATTGTTAAAAAATCTAATATATTCAATTTATCATTACTTTTTGATACTGGCTTGAAAAAAAGCTTCAGGATTTTAGGCCTAGGCCAAACTTCGAACTTCAATGAGACTTACCAAACTCTTATTTACGTGAACGTAAATTAAGTTAAGATCGTCTGTTGGGTCAGATGTCGAACTTAGGATGCGTTGAACGAATCAACTGAATCAGAGTGAAAAGCAGTTTTAATAATTTTTTTCCCTAACCAAGCTAAATATACATTATCATACAAATTTTTAGTTTATCAGTCTAGTTCGTTGCACGTATAAGATCGATGTTTGTCTAGGAGACGATCTTCAGACGTTCTATGATCTTCTATCCGCAAGCAGACGGATAGAACGTGTTGGACGATCCAAACTCATTCAGACGAACTTAACTGAGCCAGACGTCGAACTTTTCATGAACTTAATTCACGAAGTTTGATTCGTCTCATGAAAAGTTTTACGTTTGGCCTAGGCCTTAGTACCTTTACTGCTGTGACATTCTTCGGACCCGCTTGCTAACGGTTTAGTTGTTCAGATATATACAAATTATAATAAACAATATGGATGGATTTTTAATGTAACAGTTTTACAGTGTTCCGAAAAATAGCAAGGTTGTTCAGTCATGAAATTTTTCAAGCGTTAAGAAAAGGCTGGCAGTGGTTATGTGGCCGGCTGCCGGTCATGTTTTGAAAACAATAAATGGCTGTAATCCATAGTACAAACACTTATATTCTTTGCGCCCTTAGCCTTTATCCTTAAATTCTAATCTTCCCTTAGGGCCTAAAATTATTTCGAGAGGAGACAAAAGCAGCTAGATTGGCGTCACAGTCAATTAGCGATTTTTAAAGAACTTTGACCGACAATTTGTAAAGAAAATGTTTTTTTTTCGAGTTGGTGAAGCTTGAGATGTTGTCAATGCACCGGTTCTTTGTTATCAGTCTTTAAAGCTTGTATTTAGCGCGTGTGATGTCCGGCCGACAAGAGTACTCTTGAGTTCCTCTTCGCCAATAAAAAAGGTAAAGGTAAAGCAACCGCATTTTGTGTCGAGAACTCCTGACAGTAATAACTGATAAACGTGACGTCGACAATGCGCTCATTTTTACCCCCCCCCCCCCACCCCTCCATCAGCGCTCCGTTTTAAGGGTATTTAAAGATAGTCAAAGCTACATAGAACGGGAGAGAAGTTGAAACAGGGATCAGAGTCGGGACCTCGCGCATCGAAGGCTGCGCACTAACCAAATGTGCCACCCTTGCCGGCTCCTATAAAACGTTGTTTTGAAGAGAAAATTTCGGAGAAATCACGATCCCTTCACTATAACATATCATTCTTTTGTTTCCTCAGAAAAATTATGAATATTTCATAACTGTTTTTTTTTTGTACGCTTTCAGTTTCTCAAGGTGTCACCACTGGACCCAATTTCTCTTCAGTTTCTCAGATAATTTCCTTTGCGCAGAATTTTTGTTTCTTGGAATGTAAGAATGAAGTTTTGCCCCCAGCCCTCGTGGGTCACTCGAGATCACGCGCGTTGGATTCCTTTCTTGTTTCCAGTTCTTCCCAATTCCTTTAGGGGTGCTGTATTTGTTTTCTACGCCCTCGCGTTTGTTCCCAGGATCTTCGCCTACGCTCCGATCGGTAAGGGAGTTCTGGAAAAACACCAGGCGCTTTATTTTCTTCTCTTATCTATCTCATTATCAAGTAATTTTGCATGAGCGTCATTAGCGTTTGTCTTGCTTTTTCTTTTGGCTGGATCTGAAACGGGAAACGAGGGTAGCAGAAGTGGTGCCAAGGGATAGCGCCTCCTATCAATTCAAGTCCCGGAAGTGACGTCACAAGTGGGCTGAGTTTCTCATCACGTTCGAGATTTTTCTTCGGTCAGATCCGATTTTTCCCTCTCTTCAAAAACCAACAATTCTATCAGGAATATTGTAGACGAGGAGCTACTTCGTGGATGTCTTATAAGTTGATAAAACACCTTATTATTAATTTCAAATATTTCCCCAATTCTGACCGGACCAAATTTGGAAGAATTTTGTGTTTAACGAGGAAATGACGTCAAAAATGCAGCCCGCTACTGGTTAAGGCACCGTTACCGAAAAGACCTGGGGACGAGGTGGAGTTGTTTTGGTTGTGAAAAAAAATGGCGGACATTTCACTCGTTTCAGGCGAAACAATAGCTAAAAACATGGCAAAAACAGCAAGACGACAACTCAGAGGGCAACATCTGCTATTTGGAGAATATTTGCGAAGCTGGACAAACCTAAACGTACACTATCGAAGATGAACTTAACATCGATGCAGGTGAAGGATGTGTTAGCTATGTTTTTAAACTCGGAATGATTTTAAATGAATAATAAAGCAATTAATGAATTCGGCTTTCGTAGGATATTAAGAATTAAGCAGATCTCGGAGGATGTTATGCACCTCGGCCGATAACACCTTCCTCGATCTGCTTAATTCTTCATATCCTACTCAGCCTCATTCATTAATTGCTAAATATTTGCATTATATGCGTTTACTGCTCATACTGAGATGTCTGAGACCTACTGACACAAGGCGAGGAGACTCAAGTGATTCGAGTTAACATTTGCGTGACGCAGCGCTTCGCGTCAACTCAACGTCCACCAGAAAACACATGAGAACAGCTTTGTTAGATCATCAGCGCACTGATGTTGCCCTGTGTTAAAACGAAGTCTTCATTCAACCGTTTTCTGAAATACTCAGTAGTCTATATAAATAGAGGGTATGAATGGGGTAAACCGACTAGCAACAAAGGGCGAAAAATATTACTGTGACTACCGACAGAACAAGAAAAAAATTACCGACTACCGACAGGAAATATATTAACCGACATTATCGATATTTGTTTCATAAAGAAGAGTACTTTGTAAATTTTTTCTAGCTTAGGAAGTGATCACATTTACGTTTATGACTTATCAGATGGTCCAGTGGAAAGAATTTCCTCTTTTATTGACAAGTGTCATTGCTACAACCAATATCATATCACGGAGGTCATACCTTAAAAAGATACTACCAACTTTTTAAATTATATTTTTTAAAAAAGGTGAAAAACCGAAGATTTGTTGTTTTGATGGACTTCACAAGCCTTGGTAAATATAGCAGAAAACGACGGTATTGAAATAGTTTACAGAGCGTACGAAAATTTCTACAAAGACAACCCTTCTATTCCTACACATTTACCTGCGAGAAATGCTTAGATTAATCCTCAAAGAAAATTCTTTCCAGTTCAAAGGAAAGCACCTACAAACCCACAGTACCGCGATGGGCAAAAAGACAGCAGTTCCCTTTGCCAACATTTTTATGGCATACATTGAAACAAAACTTCTCAGGAAGCAAAACCGACAGTCTTTAAACCAACAGTTTGGAAAAAATACATAGATCTGTGGGATGTACGTAAATCAGACATCGCAGCTTTCTTCGCTCAAGCAATGGTACAAATACACGCCGATCAAACTTTAATGCATTTCTAGGTATCATGATCTACAACACCAATTTAGGGCACTTATGCAAAGAAGATCTCTCCCTGGTCTCCTTATGAAATGTCATTTTTCAAAGGTCTGTTGTCACACAGGAAGCGTTGGCGTAATATTAGGGCTGCCGCGTTTAAGAAATTAAAACATTTTCGAGGTGGTTTCAGTTCGTCACGTCACTTCTCAGTGATCCAAGATGACTGCGCTGAATTCTTCGGATCCAAACTTTGATGTTTACCTATCGATAATTCAAGACAAAGGCTACTTGTTGACTTTAGCATTCGTTGGATTTTTTCTGGCCCTCACTATTATCATAGGAAACTCACTTCTCCTCTTCATAACTTACAAGGATCCTCGAAAAACGCTTCGTACTCCGCCCTGTTTATTGATAACCAATTTGAGCGCTTCTGACTTACTTCTTGGGCTGTTAAACGTCTCGCTTGTGGCGGTGAGAGATGTGTATCGTTACAAACAAGTAAATATGCCTTTCCTGGAATTATTCAGAGGAATTATGTCTACTGTTTTCATTACAACAATTTTCGTCAGTTGTTACTCAATAGTTGCTATGTCAACAAGTTGTTTTGTGGCCATTAACAAGCCAATGGAATATAAAACAATCATCACTAAAAAAAGAGTCAAGATATTTATCGGTGTTTTGTGGGTGATCTCTTTGTTGATCTGTGTTCTACCTGTGGCGAACGTTCCTGAGAAAACTTATACCATGATTTATCTTCACACGCACGCAACTGTACCAGCCATTTTGTTGACTGTGATTTACACGAACGTGTTTCGCGCTCTCTCGAGACGTACACGCGAAGTTCAGAGAGAGGGCTACAACTCTGTAGCGAGTAAAGCACTGGAAAGTGAGAAAAAAATGATCAAAGCAATTGTCATAATTCTTGGATTATTCTACATCACATACATGCCTCAGTATGTATCTCTCCATCTATTGCACTTTTGTGAATCATGCAAGAAGTCGTTAACTTTCCACATGATTGATGTAGCCTTGTCTAGATTTTTATATATAAGTTCCGCTATCAATCCCTTCGTATATGCTTGGAGAGTACCGAAGTATAACCAGGCCTTTCAAGATTGCTGGAAGATGTGCCGTGGTAAACTGATAAATACCTCCCCTAAATCGTTTGCTTTCTCACTTCGTCAAAGTCAGCTGCAAAGTGGCATTGAAATGTCTCTGGGGGGACAGAGCACAAAGCAAGCCAACTGAATCAACCAAGCTTTGATTTATCAGTCACAATTGTGCGAAATCCTTGATATATTTCGATTGTATTAAGGCATTGTTAAAAAATCTAATATATTCAATTTATCATTACTTTTTGATACTGGCTTGAAAAAAAGCTTTAGGATTTTAGGCCTAGGCCAAACTTCGAACTTCAATGAGTCTTACCAAACTCTTACTTAGGTGAACGTAAATTAAGTTAAGATCGTCTGTTGGGTCAGATGTCGAACTTAGGATGCGTTGAACGAATCAACTGAATAAGAGTGAAAAGCAATTTTAATAAATTTTTTCCCGAGCCAGGCTAAATATACATTATCATACAAATTTTTAGTTTATCAGTCTAGTTCGTCGCATGTATAGATGTGACTTTTGTCTTGGAGACGATCTTCAGACGTTCTATGATCTTCTACCCGCAAGCAGGCGGATAGAACGCGTTGGACGATCCAAACTCATTCAGACGAACTTAACTGAGCCAGACGTCGAACTTTTCATGAACTTCATATTCGCTAAGTTTGGTTCGTCTCATGAAAAGTTTTACGTTTGGCCTAGGCATTAGTACCCTTACTGCTTTGACATTCTTCAGCTAGAAAAATGTACTGGACCCGCTGGCTAACGGTTTAGTTGTTCGGATATGTATACGAATTAAACTCGGAATGATTTTGAATGAATAATAAAGCAATTAATGAATTCGGCTTTCGTAGGATATTAAGAATTAAGCAGATCTCGGAGGATGTTATGCACCTCGGCCGATAACACCTTCCTCGATCTGCTTAATTCTTCGTATCCTACTCAGCCTCATTCATTAATTGCTAAATATTTGCATTATATGCGTTTACTGCTCATACTGAGATGTCTGAGATCTACTGACACAGGGCGAGGAGACTCAAGTGATTCGAGTTAACATTTGCGTGACGCAGCGCTCCCCGTCAGCTCAACGTCCATCAGAAAACACTTGAAAACAGCTTTGTTAGATCATCAGCGCACTGATGTTGCCCTGTGTTAAAAATAGTCTTCATTCAACCGATTTCTTAAATACTCAGTAGTCTATATAAATAGAGGGTGTGAATGGGGTAAACCAACTAGCGCCGAAAGGGCGAAAAATATTACTGAGTACCGACAGAACAAGAAAAATATTAACCGACATTATCGACATTTGTTTCATAAAGAAGAGCACTTTGTAAATTTTTTCTAGCTTAAAAGGTGATCACATCACGTTTATGACTTACCAGATGGTCCAGTGGAAAGAATTTCCTCTTTTATTGATAACTGACATTCTACAACCAATATCGAAATCACGGAAGTCATACCTTAATAGATACTACCGACTTTATAAATTATATTTTTTAAAAAAGGTGAAAAACCGAACATTTCTTCTTTTGATGGACGTCACAAGTCTTGGCAAATATATCAGAAAACGAGGGTATTGAAATAGTTTGCGGAGCGTATGAAAATGTCTACAAAGACAACCTTCCTATTCCTACACATTACCTGCGAGAAATGCTTAGATTAATCCTCAAAGAAAATTTTTTCCAGTTCAAAGGAAAGCACCACCGACAAACCGCGATGGACAAAAAGACAGCAGTTTCCTTTGCCAACATTTTCATGGCATATATTAAAACACAAATTCTCAGTAAGCAAAACCGACAGTCTTTTAACGAACAGTTTGGAATAGACCCGTGGGACGTACGTAAATCAGACATCGCAGCTTTCTTCGCTCAAGCAAACTTCAGTGAAACTTACATCACCCTAATATTTAATTCACGGCCGAAATATCTGAGACTGAGACTGTGTTTTTAGACACGGTTATAAATATACAAAGGCGCAAGATTCAGGTATCCTTTCATGATGTGAAGACACATAAAAAAAAACTTTCCAGTACACACATTTCACCTTTTGTCACCCACAAAGTGTTAAAATGAAGCCTTCCAAACTCCTCTGAAGCAACGTTTAAGGAAAGTATCCCGGCGTCGACGCCATATGTGGGTTGAGTTTGTTGTTGGTTCTCTCCTTTGCTCCGATAGGTTTTTCTCCGGGTACTTCGGTTTTCCCCTCTCCTCAAAAACCAGCATTTCCAAATTCCAATTCGACCAGGAATCAGGTAGACGAAGAAACACTTTGTGGATGTGCTACCTCCAAATCATTATTTAGTTACACTGTAATTTTCAGGGAGTTATAATAACTCCTCTAGTGGGGCTAATTTAACTCCTGACAGTGGAGTTATTTTTCGTAGAGTTATTTTAACTCCAAAAAGGAGTTTAAAGAACTCTTTTTCAGGAGTAAAAGTGACCCCAGATATTGAGGAGTTAAAATAACCCCAAAAAAGGAGTTATCCTGTACCTAAAAGTTTTACTCCACTTTCAGAGTTAAATTAACTCCAAAAAGAGTAAAAACAACCTATGTAAGGAGTACAAGTAACCCCATTACGCAGTAATTTGAACTCCAGACTGGGAGTAAAAAGAACTCTTTTTCAGGAGTAAAAATGACCCCAAATTCGGAGTTAAATTAGGAGTTAAAATAACCCCAAAAATGGGGTTATCCTGTACCTAAAATTTTTACTCCATTTTTGGAGTTATAATAACTCCCTAAAAATTGCGGTGTATTTATTTATTTTATTTAAGTATTTCAAACGTCAAAAATGCTTGGTGGGCAGAGGCTACCCACACAATTTGAAAGAAAAGCTGTTATCAGAAATATAACTCAAGGAAGTCCTCGCTCCTGATCGAAACAAAACAACAAGGAAGTGAAAGAAATATGGCCTTTCGTGACACAATACTAACTCTTAGTGTCTACTATAAAAGAAGCTTTGATGAAAAAGTGGAAACTCATACAAAACCAATCACTACTTTACCAAATGTTTAAAGAACGACCTATACCTAGCCTGAATAAATAGCCTATACCTTCAGGTATAGAATATACCCTATACCTGAATGAACAGTTATTTCAAAAGCGTAGTGGACCATTAGCAAAACTGGTGACATGACTGTTTTCAAATCAATTTCTTATGACTAATGGGTATAGGCAAATTCATTCGTTGTAGTGCTAACAATTAAAACCTCTTTCAATTTATATGGAAAACATTACAGATGTGATCACCGCGGATGTCTCCTCAAAAAAAAATCGTCTCACGCAACATTAACCGGAGAGGCTGTGTGGCTCTAGACTCCTCTAGTCGTCATCAAACGAGTTTGGTCGATTGAAAAAGAACTAGGACTGTCAGGAGAAGGGGTATGTATTTTTTTTTTAAACTTTAGGAAAAGGATTAAACTTGGCATACGAATTTTCATTGCTTCCGATAGATGTATAAGCAATACATATTAAGATGTCATTGTAATGGTACAAATACTTTACACGCCAATCAAACTTTAATGCATTTCTAGGTATCATGATCTACAATACCATGTAAATATAGGGTACTTATGTAGAGAAGATCTCTCCCTGGTCTCCCTATGAAATGGCATTTTTCAAAGGTCTGTTGTCTCAGGAAGCGTTCGCATAATATTAGGGCTGCTTTTAAGTAATTGAAAACATTTTCGAGGTCATTTCAGTTCATCACGTTAGTTCTCAGTGATCCAAGATGACTGCGCTGAATTCTTCGGATCCAAACTTTGATTTTTACCTGTCGATAATTCAAGACAAAGGCTACTGGTTGACTTTAGCATTCGTTGGATTTTTTCTGGCCCTCACTATTATCATAGGAAACTCACTTCTCCTCTTCATAACTTACAAGGATCCTCGAAAAACGCTTCGTACACCGCCCTGTTTATTGATCACCAATTTGAGCGCTTCTGACTTACTTCTTGGGCTGTTAAACGTCTCGCTTGTGGCGGTGAGAGATGTGTATCGTTACAAACAAGTAAATATGCCTTTCCTTGAATTATTCAGAGGAATTATATCTACTGTTTTCATTACAATTTTCGTCAGTTGTTACTCAATAGTTGCTATGTCAACAAGTTGCTTTGTGGCGATTAAAAAGCCAATGGAATATAAAACAATCATCACGAAAAAAAGAGTCAAGATATTTATCGGTGTTTTATGGGTGATCTCTTTGTTGATCTGTATTCTACCTATGACGAACGTGCCTGAGAAAACTTATATGATGATTTATCTTCACACGCACGGAACTGTACCAGCCATTTTGTTGACTGTGATTTACACGAACGTGTTTCGCGCTCTCTCGAGACGTACACGCGAAGTTCAAAGAGAGGGCTACAACTCTGTAGCGAGTAAAGCACTGGAAAGTGAGAAAAAAATGATCAAAGCAATCGCCATAATTCTTGGATTATTCTACATCACATACATGCCTCAGTATGTATCTCTCCATCTATTGCACTTTTGTGAATCATGCAATAAGTCGTTAACTTTCCACATGATTGATGTAGCCTTGTCTAGGTTTCTATACATAAGTTCCGCAATCAATCCCTTCGTGTATGCTTGGAGAGTACCGAAGTATAACCAGGCCTTTCAAGATTGCTGGAAGATGTGCCGTAGTAAACTGAGAATTACTTCGCCTTAATCGTTTGCGTCCTCTCTTAGTCAAAGTCAGCTGCAAAGTGGCATTGAAATGTCTGTGGGTGGTAGGGACAGAACACTAAGCAGGCCAACTGAATCAACCAAGATTTGATTTATTCAGCTATGCGAAAAATCCTTTAAAATATTTCGATTGTATTCAGGCATTGTTAAAAAATCTAATTTATTCAATTGAAAGTATTATTACCATTTGATACTGCCTTAATCTTTAGTATGTTAGGCTTGGGCCCTCGTCGAATTAATTTTTTATGAGACGAACCAAACTCTAATTTAGGTCGACCTAAATTAAGTTAAGATCGTCTATTGGTTCAGACGTCGAACTTAGGAAGCGTCGAACGAATCAACTGAACCAGAACAAAAAGCAATTTTAATAATTTTATCCCCGAACTAGACTAAATATACATTATCATACAAATCTTTAATTTAGTAGTTTAGGGACTGGTCATTTGGAAATGTCGTTGATAAAAAACACATGGCCCACAGAATTGTGCCACTTGTCCATACATTACTAACGGCCTCACAACTTATACCTTTTACGCTACAGGTGAAACACGCTCCATCACTTCACACATTACTTGTAACACTAAAAATGTGATCTACATGGTTCAATGTAATCGTTGTAATTTACAATATATAGGTGAAACTAAGCGACGTCTCAAGGACAGATTTAACGAACACAGACATGCAGTCGACAAAACTAAAGTTAAATCTAAACCCACTACTGTTTCTGAACACTTTCTCTCTCACTCTAACCATTCTCATACTGACATGCAGTTATTCTCACTAGAGAAAATTCGTTCTTCACCTGACTCAGTTCGTAAGGTCAGGGAGTCTCATTTGATAGATAAGGCTATGACTCTTGACTCTTGAACCGCCGTGACAAATTATTGCAATCCATCTCCTGAGTATTTTTCCTTTCCAGTTTTTCTGTTGTACGTCATGATCATTTTTGTCTCTCCCTTTTAAACAATTTTTATTGCGACATTCTCCATCTATATAATATTGTGATTGCTACATAAGTTCAGTAACATCTGTAAACCTGAAGAAGGCTGCAGGTATGGCCAGCCGAAATATTGTTATAAAAAAACAATACACGTTGTTTTAAATCAGCTTTGCAGTAGTCTTTGGACTTCTCGTTCATGGCCCAACCCCTTCTTCCGGCACAAAAATGACGGACCCACCCCTACACCAAGGTTGGAAATTACATGGTACTAGTATTAAAACATGGATTTTTGGTTTCCTCTTGATAATCCAATAAAACCTTGTTCTGTGCATGACAAAATTTCTTGATACATTGCTACAACCAATATCAAAATCACAGAAATCATACCTTTCATTGAAAAGACAAATGTGAAAAACCGAACATTTCTCGCTTCGATGGACGTTAAGAGTTAAAATTATCAAAATTAATTAAGCATATGAAAATTTCTACAGACAACCTATCCCTATACATTACTTGCCGGAAATACTTAGATTAATCCTTAAAGAAAATTTCTTCCACTTCAATGGAAAGCACTACCTTCAAACCCATGGAACTGTAATGGGCGCAAAGACAGCCGTTTCGATTCCTTTGCCAACATTTTCGTGGCATATATTGAAACAACAACTCTAAGCAAATCCGTGTTTAAACCAACAGTTTGGAAATGCTGCATGGACGATATTTTTCCCTACGGGACATAAGTAAATCAGACATCGAAGCCTCCATTGAACAAGCAAACTTACATCACCCAACTATTAAATTCACGGCCGAAACATCTGACACTGAGACTGTGTTTTTAGATACGGTTGTATACAAAGGCTCAAGATTCAAGGAAAAATCTATCCTTGACGCAAAGTCCTACGAAAAAACTCCTCAGAAACAAACCCTCTTGAGGAAAATAATTCGAATTTCAAAAGAAGCTTGATAGACAGTGGCTACGCACAAACTTTGAGAGAAAACCTACTATCAGAAATAAAATTCACAGAAAGGAAGTCTAAACTCCTAAAACAAAACAACAAGGAGGAAAAAGAAATACTGCCATTCGTGGCACAATATCAACCCTCAGTGTCTACTATAAAGGAAGCTTGAATGAAAAAGTGGAATCTTATACAAGACTAACCATACCTTCGCTAAACCACCGTATCACTTCCTTACAAAAAAGGAAAATCATTAAAGGACATACTCCTTAGAGCAAAAAAAATGGTTAACAAAGGGTTTCACGCCGGTATAGATGTGCGGCCTGTCACCCCTTGCATTTTCTCATACAACAGGTTGGAGAGTATGTTAGCAATAATTCCAGCAGGCTGTGTTTTATATAACAATTGTGGTCAACTGTCTCGTTAGTATCAGTATAGTGTGCCTACCTGAAAATTGGACGACCCACCCCTTGCAAACGGCTAAAAACCTCATTACTCACCCCCTCTCTGCTCCGGCCCCCATACTTTTTGACCCCTTCCCTTAGTTCGTCGCATGTGAGGATCGACGTTTGTCCCGGAGACGATCTTCAGACAGTTCTACCCGTGTGAAGCAGACGGTTAAAACGTGTTGAACGATCCAAACCGCATTCAGACGAACTAAACTGAGCCAGACGTGGAACGTTTTCACTACGTTTGGTTCGTCTCATGAAAAGTTTTACATTTACGTTTAGCTAGGCCTTAGTTCGTTTACTGCTGTGACATTCTTCGGACCCGCTTGCTAACGGCTTAGTTGTTCAGATATATAGGAATTATAATAAACGTTTTCAGAAAACAATATGGATGGATTTTTAACGTAACAGTGTTCCTAACTGACAGCAAGGTTGTTCAGTCATGAAATTTTTCAAGCGTTAAGAAAAGGCTGACAGTGGTTATGTTGCCGGCTGCCGGTCATGTTTTGAAAACAATAAATGGCTGTAACCCATAGTACATTTAACACTTATATTCTTTGCGCCCCTAGCCTTTATCCTTAAATCCTTATCTTCCCTTAGAACCAAAAATTATTTCGAGAGGAGACAAAAGCAGATTGACGTGACAGTCAATTAGCGATTTTTAAAGAACCTTGACCGACAATTTGTAAAGAAGATGTTTTTGTTTCTTTGTCCGAGTTGGTGAAGATTGAGATGTTGGGCCAATAATGAATTTTTATGCCCCTTTTCTATGTCTCTGGGGCGCCTCTTCTCCAATGTTGCAGTAAAGAAAGAATTTTGGAGAGATCACGATCGCTTCACAATAAAATATAATGCTTTTGTTTCAGTCCTCAGAAAAGTTATGAATATTTCATAACTGCCTATTTTTACGCTAAGTTTCTCAAAGTGTCACCACTGGACCCAATTTCTCGTCAGTCAGTCTCAGATAATTTTCTTGGTGTAGAATTTTTTTCTTGGAGTGTAACAATTAAGTTTTGCCCCCAACCCTCGCTGGTCACCCGAGATTACGCGCGTTGGATTCCCTCCTTGTTTCCAGTTCGTCCCAATTCCTCAGGGTACTGTATTCGTTTTTTCTGCCCTCGCGTTTGTTCCCAGGATCTTCGCTTACGTAGCGATCGACAATGATTCTGGGAAAACACCTGCTCTTTATTTCCTTCTCTTATCTATGTCATTATCAAGTAACTTTGCACGAGTGCCATTAGCTTTTGTCTTGCTTTTTCTTTTTGCTGGATCCAAATATTATAATAATCTTTGAAGGACAACAATTCAAGTCCCGGAAGTGACGTCAAACGTGAGCAGAGTTCCTCATCATGTCCGAGATTTTTCTTCGGTAGATCCGAATTTTTCCTTCTCTTCAAAAACCAACATTTCTAATTTTCAATTCGATGTGGAATATTGCTGACGAGGAGCTACTTTGTGGATGTCCTTTAAGCTGAATAAAAGACCTTGTCTATATTATATGCGTCGTTTACTGCTCATACTGAGGTGTACTGACACAACGCGAGGAGGCTCAAGTGATTCGAGTTCAGACATTTGCGTGACGCAGCGCCCCGCGTCAACTCAACGTCCATCAGAAAACACATGAGAACAGCTTTTTTAGATCATCAGTGCACTGATGTTGCCCTGTGTTAAAACAAACTCTTCATTCAACCGATTTCTTAAATACTCAGTAGTCTGTATAAATAGAGGGTGTGAATGGGGTAAACCGACTAGCGACAAAGGGCGAAAAATATTACTGACTACCGACAGAACAAGAAAAAAATTACCCACTACGGACAGGAAAAATATTAACCGACATTATCGATATTTTTTTCATAAAGAAGAGTACTTTGTAAATTTTTTCTAGCTTAGGAAGTGATCACATCACGTTTATGACTTACCAGACGGTCCAATGGAAAGAATTTCCTCTTTTATTGATAAGTGACATTGCTACAACCAATATCAAAATCACGGAAGTCACATCTTAAAAATACGAACGCCTTTATAAATTATATTTTTTAAAAAAGGTGAAAAACCGAACATTTCTTGTTTTGATGGACGTCACTAGTCGTGGCAAATATAGCGGAAAACGACAGTATTGAAATAGTTTGCAGAGCGTATGAAAATGTCTACAAAGACAACCCTTTTATTCCTACACATTACCTGCGAGAAATGCTTAGATTAATCCTCTAAGAAAACTCTTTCCAGTTCAAAGGAAAGCACCACCGACAAACCCATAGTACCGCGATGGGCAAAAAGACAGCAGTTTCCTTTGGCAACATTTTCATGGCATATATTGAAACACAAATTCTCAGTAAGCAAAATCGACAGTCTTTAAACCAACAGTTTGGAAAAAATACATAGATCTGTGGGACGTACGTAAATCAAACATTCCAGCTTTCTTCGCTCAAGCAAACTTCAGTGAAACTTACATCACCCTAATATTAAATTCACGCCCGAAATATCTGACACTGAGACTGTGTTTTTAGACACGGTTATGCAAGGCAAAAGATTCAACGAAAAAGCTATCTTTGATGTGAATACACATCAAAGAAAACTTTCCAGTACACACATTTCACCTTTTGTCACCCACAAAGTGTTAAAATGCCGGATTTGTCAAAAGGTGAAGCGTTCCAAACTCCTGTGAAGCAACGTTTAAGGAAAGTATTTCAAACGTCAAAAATGCTTGGTGGACAGAGGGTACCCACACAATTTGAAAGAAAAGCTGCTATCAGAAATATAACTCAAGGAAGTCCTCGCTCCTGAAAGAAAACAACAAGGAAGAAAAAGAAATATGGCCTTTCGTGACACAATACTAACTCTTAGTGTCTACTATAAAAGAAGCTTTGATGAAAAAATGGAATCTCATACAAAACTAATCACTACTTTACCAAATGTTTAAGGAACGACCTATTACTTCCTGCAAGAAAGGAAAGCACCGGGGCACCCAACGAGGATATAGTTCAAAACCACTTAACATAGCATTGTTGAACGTATTTTAGTATTCAAACGGTAGATATAGGCAAACGGTAAAATCTAGTGATCCGAAAATTATAGGGATCAAAACTATTTTCGAAAATTTAAGCCAGGAAAAGGCAAAATATTTTTTTTTCAGGGTCAAAATCCGTTAAAAATGAGTAATTATACCATTTTGAAGATGTTCGAAAATCATAGGAGAGGCAGGCAAGCAAGACATTTTACAACAAATGCTCCGAAAATTCTAGATCTCAAATCGTCTTCCGAAGAGATATTTTCCCGAAAATTGCCGTTGGGTGCCCCTGAAAGCATGCTCGTGAGAGTCAAACACACGGTTTCACTCCGTTATAGATGTACAGCCCGTCACCCCTTGCAGTTTTTCACTTAAAGTAATTTACGTATCCAAACTGCTAGAGTGGGCGTTTTCCTCTGTGTCCAGTTAACCTCTCTTGATTACTTTTTACGGTGTCCTGTAACCAATAGGGAAACCAAGCTCTCGTTTACAATAAACGCTTTGGTGATTTTAACCGGACTATATTGGCAAACAAAGGTGAAATAAACTACCATGTTGCAAAAACAATCCAGAGTTCATGAAATTTTTAAAGTGCAGTGATATGATGCATTCTTACGTTTTATAAGGATCAAAGTCTTGAAACTCGGGGTGAAATACATAACAACTATTAATAATCAACATGCATTTTTACTTATTAACTGAAAGTTGCCGACTACCGAAAATTTTTATAACCGACTACCGACAAAGTAACTGAATTTTAACCGACAACCGACAAGTGGACTGTACCTTGTAACAGTTACATCCCTAAAACTGTACCTTAATTGTGTGCTTTTGAGTTTTGAAGAGTAATAAAGTTTAAGAAAACACGTTGATCATGACTACTTTTATTTATCTACAAATGGTTAAGAGTCGGAGAAGTTTTTAATTTTTCGAAAGTCACTAGCCGGTCCTATATTAACTCGTATGATTCTCCTTAGTGCATTACTTTCTAGATGCAATTCCGTGTCAAGAAATACCTGAATAAATAGTTATTTGTGATAAACTAAACCAGCGTAGTGGAGGACCTAAAATGAAAACTTCGGTACCCGTTGCCAATACTGGTCATTATAAGGTCTAATAACAACACATGACTGTTTTTTTCAACTTCCGCAATGAGCTTTTAAAATCAGTTTCCGATGACTAATGGGTATGAGCAAATTCATTCGTTGTAGTGCTAACAATTAAAACCTCTTTCAATTTATATGGAACATGAACCGGAGAGCCTGTGGCTATAGTCTCCTCTGGTCGTCATCAAACGAGTTTTGCCGATTGAAAAAGAACTAGAGCTGTCAGGAAAAGGGGTTTGTATCTTTTCTTTAACTTTAGGAAAAGGATTAAACTTGGCATAACCAATACATATTAAGATGTCATTATAATGGTACAAATACTTTACACGCCAATCAAACTTTAATGCATTTCTAGATATCATGATCTACAATACCATGTAAATATAGCGTACTTAAGTGGAGAAGATCTCTCCCTGGTCTCCTTATGAAATGTCATTTTTGAAAGGTCTGTTGTCACACAGGAAGCGTTGGCGTAATATATTATTAGGGCTGCGTTTAAGTAATTAAGACATTTTCGAGATCATTTCCATCAGTTCATCACGTTAGTTCTCAGTGATCCAAGATGACTGCGCTGAATTCTTCGGATCCAAACTTTGATGTTTACCTGTCGATAATTCAAGACAAAGGCTACTGGTTGACTTTAGCATTCGTTGGATTTTTTCTGGCCCTCATTATTATCATAGGAAACTCACTTCTCCTCTTCATTACTTACAAGGATCCTCAAAAAACGCTACGTACTCCGCCCTGTTTATTGATCACCAATTTGAGCGCTTCTGACTTACTTCTTGGGCTGTTAAACGTCTCGCTTGTGGCGGTGAGAGATGTGTATCGTTACAAACAGGTAAATATGCCTTTCCTTGCATTATTCAGAGGAGTTATGGCTACTGTTTTCATTAAAACAGTTTTCGTCAGTTGTTACTCAATAGTTGCTATGTCAACAAGTTGCTTTGTGGCGATTAACAAGCCAATGGAATATAAAACAATCATTACTAAAAAAAGAGTCAAGATATTTATCGGTGTTTTGTGGGTGATCTCTTTGTTGACCTGTATGCTACCTATGACGAACGTGCCTGAGAAAACTTATACGATGATTTATCTTCACACGCACGGAACTGTACCAGCCATTTCGTTGCCTGTGGTTTACGTGAACGTGTTTCGCGCTCTCTCGAGACGTACACGCGAAGTTCAAAGAGAGGGCTACAACTCTGTAGCGAGTAAAGCACTGGAACGTGAGAAAAAAATGATCAAAGCAATTGTCATAATTCTTGGGTTATTCTACATTACATTAATGCCTCAGTACATATCTCTCCATCTATTGCACTTTTGCGAATCATGCAAGAAGTCGTTAACTTTCCACATGATTGATGTAGCCTTGTCTAGATTTTTATATATAAGTTCCGCTATCAATCCCTTCGTGTATGCTTGGAGAGTACCGAAGTATAACCAGGCCTTTCAAGATTGCTGGAAGATGTGCCGTAATAAACTGAGAATTACTTCGCCTTAATCGTTTGCATCCTCTCTTCGTCAAAGTCAGCTGCAAAGTGGCAATGAAATGTCTGTGGGTGGTAGGCACAGAGCACAAAGCAAGCGAACTGAATTAACCAAGACTTAATTTATTCAACTATGCGAAAAATCCTTTAAAATATTTCGATTGTATTCAGGCATTGTTAAAAAATCTAATTTATTCAATTGAAAGTATTATTATCATTTGATACTGGCTTGATCTTAAATACTGTTGGGCTTGGGCCCTCGTCGAATTAAGTTTTTTTATGAGACGAACCAAAGTCTGATTTAGGTCGACCTAAATTAAGTTAAGATCGTCTATTGGTTCAGACGTCGAACTTAGGAAGCGTCGAACGAATCAACTGAACCAGAACAAAAAGCAATATTAATAATTTTATCCCCGAACAAGGCTAAATATACATTATCATACAAATCTTTAATTTAGTAGTTTAGGGACTGGTAAAAAATTAAAGGGTGCGGGGGTGGGGGCGGACCATTTGGAAATGTCGTTGATAAAAAACACATGGGCCACAGAATTGTGCCACTTGTCCATACATTACTAACGGCCTCACAAGTTATACCTTTTACGCTAAATGTGGGTGATAAAATTCACCTGGCCCACCCTCTCCCTTCGGCACAAAAATGGCTGACCCACCCCTACACCAAGGTTGGTGACCCACCCCCTATTATTAAAACATGGATTTTTGGTTTCCTCTTAATAATCCAACAAAACCTTGTTCTGTGCATTACAAAATCTCTTGATACATTGCTACAACCAATATCAAAATCACAGATAGATCATACGTTTCAGTGAAAAGACAAATGTCCTGAAATGTGAAAAACCGAACATTTCTTGTTTCGATGGACGTTATGAGTCTTGATGAAATATACCGCAAAACGAGGGTATTAAAATTATCTTTAAAGTATATGAAAATTTCTACAGGCAACCTATTCCGACACCTTACTTGCCGGATGTTTAGATTAATCCTTAAAAAAAATTTCCTCCACTTCAATGGAAAGCACTACCTACAAACCCATGGAACTGCAATGGGCGCAAAGACAGCAGTTTCGATTCCTTTGCCAACATTTTCGTGGCATATATTGAAACAAGAACTCTAAGCAAAACCGTCTTTAAACCAACAGTTTGGAAATGCTACATTGACGATATTTTTCCCTACGGGACATAAGTAAATCAGACATCTAAGCCTCCATTGAACAAGCAAACTTACATCACCCAACTATTAAATTCACGGCCGAAACATCTGCCACTGAGACTGTTGTATACGGTTGTATACAAAGGCACAAGATTCAAGGAAGAATCTATGATTAATGCAAAGACACATTTTAAACAAACGGTACCTTCCGGTACACACACAAAAAAAGGATTTGTCAAAGGAGAAGCCTTGAGAATCCTACGAAAAACAAGCTCCTCAGAAACAACCTTTGAGGAAAATAATTCGAATTTCAAAAAACGCTTGGTGGACAAAGGCTACCCACAAACTTTGATAGAAAACCTACTATCAGAAATAACATTCACAGAAAGGAAGTCAAAACTCTTAAAACAAAACAACAAGGAGGAAAAAGAATTACTGCCATTTGTGACACAATATCAACCCTCAGTGTCTACTATAAAGGAAGCTTGAATGAAAAAGTGGAATCTTATACAAGACTAACCATACCCGCGCTAAATTTCTAAAGAGCCACCTATCACTTCTTTACAAGAAAGGAAAATCATTAAAGGACATGCTCCTTAGAGCAAAAAAAAAAAGGTTAACAAAGGGTTTCACGCCGGTATAGATGTGTGGCCTGTCACCCCTTGCATTTTCTCACACAACAGGTTGGAGAGTATGTTAGCAGGCTGTGTTTTATATAACAAGTGTGGTCAACGGTCTCCTTAGTATCAGTATAGTGTGCCTGTCTATGTAATAAAATAGGGTGACCCACCCCCAAGGGTAGCTGAAAATTGGACGACCAACCCCTTGCAACCGGCTCAAAACCTCATGACCCAGCCCCTCTCTGCCAGACAGACGTGGAACCTTTTTCACTAAGTTTGATTCGTCTCATGAAAAGTTTTACGTTTGGCCTAGGCCTTAGTACCTTTTCTGCTGTGACATTCTTCGGACCCGCTAACGGTTTAGTTGCTCAGATATATACGAATTATAATAAACGTTTTCAGACAACAATATGGATGGATTTTTAACGCAACAGCGTAACAGTGTCCCTAAAAACAGCAAGGTTGTTCAGTCATGAAATTTTTCAAGCGTGAAGAATAGGCTGACAGTGGTTATGTGGCCGGCTGCCGGTCATGTTTTGAAAACAATAAATGGCTGTAACCCATAGTACATTTAACACTTATATTCTTTGCCCCCTTAGCCTTTATCCTTAAATCCTTATCTTTCCTTAGATCCAAAAATTATTTCGAGAGGAGACAAAAGCAGATTGGCGTGATAGTCAGTTAAAGTTTAAAGAACCTTGACCGACAATTTGTAAAGAAAATGGTTTTGTTTCTTTTTCCGAGTTGGTGAAGAATGAGATGTTGGGCCAATAATGAATTTTTATGCACCTTTTCTATGTCTCTGGGGCGCCTCTTCACCAATGTTGCAGTAAAGAAAGAATTTTGGAGAAATCACGATCGCTTCACGATAAAATATAATTCTTTTGTTTCAGTCCTCAGAAAAAAGTTATGAATATTTCATAACCGCCTATTTTTACGCTAAGTTTCTCAGTGTCACCACTGGACCCAATTTCTCTTCAGTCAGTCTCAGATAATTTTCTTGGTGTAGAATTTTTTTCTTGGAGTGTAACAATGAAGTTTTGCACCCGCGCTGGTCACCCGAGATTACGCGCGTTGGATTCCCTCCTTGTTTCCTGTTCGTCCCAATTCCTCAGGGTACTGTATTTGTTTTTTCCGCCCTCGCGTTTGTTCCCAGGATCTTCGCCTACGTATAGTAGCGATCGACAATGATTCTGGAAAAACACCTGCGTTTTATTTTCTTCTCTTATCTATGTCATTATCAAGTAACTTTGCATGAGCGCCATCAGCTTTTGTCTTGCTTTTTGTTTTTGCTGGATCGAAATACTATAATCTTTGAAGGACAAAAATCGGGGAACGAGGGTAGCGGAAGTGGTGCCAAGGGAAAACGCCTCCTGACAGTTCAAGTCCTGGAAGTGACGTCAAAAGTGAGCAGAGTTCCTCATCATGTCCGAGATTTTTCTTCGGTAGATCCGATTTTTCCCTCTCTTCAAAAACCAACATTTCTAAATTTCAATTCGACGTGAAATATTGTAGACGAGGAGCTACTTCGTGGATGTCCTATAGGTTGAATAAAAGACCTTGTCTATATTATATGCGTTTACTACTCATACTGAGATCTGCTGACACAAGGCGAGGAGACTCAAGTGATTCGAGTTCAGACATTTGCGTGACGCAGCGCTCCGCGTCAACTCAACGTCCATCAGGAAACACATGAGCTTTGTTAGATCATCAGCGCATATATCACGGTTGCCCTGTGTTAAAAAAGTCTTCATTCAACCTATTTCTTAAATACTCAGTAGTCTATATAAATGGAGGGTGTGAATGGTGTAAACCGGATAGCGACAAAGGGCGAAAAATATTACTGACCACCGACAGAACAAGAAAAAAATTGCCGACTACCGACAGGAAAAATATTAACCGTCTACGGACATGAACCGGCATTATCGATGTTTGTTTCATAAATTAAGAAGAGCGCTTTGTATTTTTTCTAGCTTAGGACGTGATCACATTACGTTTATGACTTATCAGCTGGTCAATTTCCTGAGGAAAGTATTTCAAACTTCAAAAATGCTTGGTGGACAGAGGCTACCCACACAATTTGAAAGAAAAGCTGCTATCAGAAATAAAACTCAAGGAAGTCCAAGCTCCTGAAACAAAACAACAAGGAAGAAAAAGAGATATGGCGTTTCGTGACACAATACTCAACAATTATTCGCCGAAGGCGAAGTTAATATTGTTGAATAATCTCCGAGACGAAGTCGAGGGGATTATTCAACAATATTAACTGAGCCTGAGACGAATAATTGTTTTAGTATATACACACGAGTTGATCTCAACAGAATCAGAAAGGAAACCATGAAAAAAACTATTATTTTGATTCAAGGGTGAATTCATGCGTGAACATGTAGCCATAAACAGCAGAAGCACAACAGTTGGATCTTTACAGTATTTTCAAACATGGCATAGTTTTAATTTTTTTTTGTAAGCTTTAGCATCAATGATTGAAAAGAAAACGTTGAAAGTTTAAATAACTCCCCTTAATGAGAAGAAACACAGAGCTTTATTTTCTTCTGTCCACTCACCGTGAATGAGACGGTTTTTTTTTGTCGCTTCTTGCCAGATAACTTCAAGTACCGCGATACGGTCAGACGATACTGGTCAGCGGATACCTTGTTTTGACAGCTCTCAATTGATCACAACGTTGATGTACAAGCAGTTTCCTCCTGGGCACCCAAAGTAGTTAGAAAGTGTGAAAGTAAACATTGGTTTTCCTGTGGTGAGGACGGACGGACGGTCGGGCGATCGGTCGGAGTACGGTCAGTTGATTACCAAATTTTCGGGGATGGCAGCATTGCCGAAACGTCGGAGTTTTATTTGCAATTATCAGCGTTTAACTTACCACCTTCCCACTTTTAGCCCACACAAACGCTATGCAGGAACCCCCTTTATTTGCATCTAGATTTACTAAGCTATGAGGCTCCACCCACGCGCGCGCGTAGAGCCCCGATTCCTGCATTCAGCAGTGAATCTTTCACGATAACTTCGCAGTATTCGCCAGATTGAAAAAACTTTGAAAGAATAACATCGCTATGAAGACATATATATCAAATTTAAGAAAACGGAACTAACAAAAATTGTATGACTTTTACTCAGCCCCCACACAAAATGCGGATGCAGACATAAAGCTAGACTGCGAGCAGTCTCTTATGTTTTTTTTTGCAAAGTTACTGCACGAGAAACCTAAGCACGCGAGCCGCGATAAACGAGGGCGTAAGCCCGTGTAAGGGGCCGACTATTAAACTCTTGAGGGGGGTGGTTGGTCGGGTGATTTCTGGTCATCAAGAATTTTTTTCTAGCAATCTGGTGGGCAGGATATTTTTTCGCTTTTTTCCAATAAGCTTTCTATTACATTTGTGCTGCATGCAATTTTTTTCTTCCGACAAGCCCTTGCAGGAATCTTTTTTTCAAAATCACCCACCCACCCCCGACCCCTCAAGAGTTAAATGGTCGGCCCCTAAGAGACTGCTGAGTCTTGTTCTGTCTGGGTACAACGAAGCTGTCGAGGTAATTTAAGAACCAATTACCGGTAAACCCTATTAACTTGAAACGATTTATTTATTAGAAGATATCCTTTAACGTTGTAGTTAACAAGCGATTACCCCTAGGTTCGTAATTGTTCGTAGTTAGTTGTGACGCGTGACTATTTTTATCGCTCGCATCTCCACCACAGACCAGTCAAATTAAAACCAGCTATTGCGTATAAAATATTTGATACCCTTATCTCCACTATCCTGACATATAATAGTGAAATTTGGGGTGTGTATGCAAAACCAGATTTTAAGGCTTGGGACGGTACACAAATTGAAAAAACACACCTTCAATTGCAAACGGTACTTAGAGGTAAATATTCAAAGCTTCTAATATAGCATGTAGAGCTGAACTTCGTCGCTTTCCTTTAAGTATCACTATTACTCAAAAACTTCTCAACTACATTTATATTCAGTCCAAAACCGAAGGCTCTTTTGTCGAACAAACCTTCTTAATGTCATTTGATCTACACTCCAATGGTAAAAGCAGTAAAAGTAGCTTTCACTCCCATCTCATGAAGATATCAGAATATTTCAACACACCTGACTTTAATCCTAATTTGTTAGATACCGCAATATTCAAAACCTTTGTACGCTTGATGAAACAAAAATATATCTCCTATTGGAAAAACACCCTCCAACATTCTCAAAAACTAGAATTTTATAGATCTTTTAAAAACGAGCATACCATTTCTAATTATTTAGATTTAACAAGAGGAACAGCCGAGAGAAAGACATTAGACAAATTACGAATTACGAATTAGCAATCACAAATTGATCATTATATTTGTGAACAAGGTAGATACAATCAGATCTCTAGAGAAAATAGACATTGCCCACCCGTGGGTCCAATCAAATAGAAGACGAAATTCACTTTCTTTTTCACTGTTCTAAATACTCTATAATAAGGAATAATTTTTACCATAAAGTTCAATCTCTGTTTCCAAATATTACCCAATTACACGTCAACGATCTGATCAATGAACAGATGAACTCCTCAAATTACTATATCAATTTACAGTGGAACCCCGCCTAACGACCACCCCGTTTATAAGACCACCTCGTTATTACGGCCATATTCTTTCAAACCAAACGTAAAAACCATTGAGTCATTTTATTATTTTGAGGACCCCGTTAATGCGACCACCTCGTTATTACGACCAGGATTTTATGGCCCAACGGTGGTCGGATTAGCGGGGTTCCACTGTACAATTGGTTAAATATATTTCAGCTTGCTTTGATTTCCGTGACAAATTGTTAGCAAAGTAAATTAATTGCAATAAGATGAAATTTTAGTTTTTCTCTTAAGGTAGCTTTTGCAATACTATGTGTACATGTATGGTCATGCAACAGTAGTAGTGGACGGCTGTTCAGGGCTTTTTTATCGATTAGTTAAAGAGCCAATTATAAAGTAATATAACGAACACGTGATCAATATCGATTTAGTGACGTCTGTGAACCGGAAGTTGTTATACCGGAAGTGTCACAAGACAACATGTTGAGCTGATTCCGCAGAAGCTAAAAATAACTAAAGCGAAATCAAAAACTCGGTTCCCACTGGCTGAAATTTGACAATTTCCTGTCAACCTTTCAAGAGTTGCCCAATCATAGTCTTTTGGGTGGAAATTGACCAATCACTGTTTGCCCCTTGGAATGGGCGGAGCATTCTTGTCGTTATTAGTAGCTGTCTGACTAGAATGTCCTCATTTTTATCAAGATGGCGGAAGATGACGATGTTCCATGTCAGAGAGAACGTTTTTTAGTGACGTCACCAGTTGTTAAACCGTAAGTGTCACAGGACAATATGTTGAGCTAAAAATAAAGCGAAATCAAACGTTACAATTAAATGGACGAATATTTTATATAAGCAAATCCAGGTATGAACCACAGATCTCTTTCGCTCTTCTGAGATAGAAATATACATATAAGCACAGCACTAAACAGTACCTAAAATCTTCTGAGAAGCAGGAAATCGCCTCCTAAAATCGGCTAAATCGCTCCTTCGATCGTCTCCGAATCGTGATAAACTTATGGAAATTACCTTATGAAGCCAATAACAAGCATCTAAGGCCAGTATGAGCTCTTGAAAATTCTCCAAGTCGCTCTCCTCCGTAAAGTTTTTCAGAAAAGGAAGCAGTATTTTGATTCCGGGTTTTGATCCATCTCTCTCACGAGATGCGAACTCGACCGTGTCTCGATTGAAATAAGGCACATAAACAGTTTTACCCATGAACCTTTGAGGGTCGTGACGCACACCGCCTGGTCATGCAAATAAAGCTTGTTGTTGTTGGAACAATTATCTGTCAACAGCTGTAAAACTGACCAATCGGGCTCCGTTTCTGGGCTGACGGAGAGTTTGTTTACAACAAAAGAGTCCGCAGTCCGTCTTTTCTCGTCCAAATCCCTTATTGTAACGTAAAGTCGTGGTTTGCAATCGCACTGGCTGAGATAAGAACTAAACGGATTTTAAGAGAATAGGCGGACTGCAAGCAGTCTAACATAAAGCCGAAATGTCTGAAATCTACAACGTCGTCTTCTACGCCTGTACGCACCGGCAGCGGTTTTTGCCGCGTCACGCAACTCAAAGATTCCAGTGACGTTTAATTATGTAGACAAACCTCTAATATATAAAGCAAGCTGGGGACCTCTGGGCTGAGGAAATGGAAATTCCTCTGACCGTAATCCATAACCGGATTAGCATTCGTCAGGCAGGTCTACATGGGGTAATACTTTTTTTTTTCAAATAACAATTAAGTATTTTCTTGGCTTTTCTGCGGTTATAACGATTATTTTCAATCCATTGCAGTTAGCAGAGATCTGAAGAAGACAAATCTATTTTTTGAAAAAGTTGTCGAGTTTTGTAAATGTCGTCGTCTAAAACCCCTTTCAAGATGGAAAACAGGGTTTTAAAGGAGCCCTCAGCCATGAGAAGTCACGTGAAGGCCTAGCAAGCTTCTCTGCATGACCAGTTTCACTAGAAAGTTTTTAAGGTTAACTTTTTATGACCAATGTTTAAAATTTCTGCCTATAAATATATAGACTGCGAGAATGTCGTTGTTTGCAATCGCGCTGACTGGGATGAGAACCAACCACGTTTGCCAGGGTCCTCTCTATCTCCTACTTCCGCTCCGGTAGATGAGTAGGAGAGGACCCCAGGGACGGGGTTGGGCTGAGAACTAGACGGATTTTAAGAGAAAAGGCGAACCGTAAGCTTGGTGTTTAAAAACTAACATACAGTTTCGCATGTTTCAACCAGTAATTTTGTCTAGCTACATTATCGCTATTAAAATCCACAATAGATAGAGAGCGCTTGTGGGGGGCGAGCGGCAAGCTTCAGCTCAAAAACGCTAGAATCCTATGCGAGTGATTTACAAGCTTTTCTCGTGTTCTCCCAACATCCCGCGTAGGTTATCACGCCGGTAAACCCATAGAAAGTTTGGTCTATTGCTTAAATATTCACCACGCTAGGTGCTGAATATACAGCAAAAAAAATCGCTGTCGTGAGCGGGTGTCTAGAGAATGACGATCTAGAAAACGAAGACCTACGGCCCATAAAACGACGCCCTAGAAAATGACTACCTCTTTATATTCGCATTTTCTTTCAACCACTAAATTCCAAACGACACTTTTCATATTTTCAGGTCGTGAATGAAATATATGTAATGACTCATATTTTGAACTGCGGATAAAGATGTGAAAGAAGAAATAGTTAAATAAACAACCCAAGGGGTCGGAAAAAAAAAACCGGAAAAAATTGAGGCCTGACTAACGAACGGACCCTTGACAAAATCTGGATCAGACAGGATCGGTTCAACCCCTGAAAACTATCCCAAACCTTTTGTCATTAAGTGAAGTACAGGGCGGGGTTGATCCTATCCGGGCTTTGCTCAGTGATGGTTACATTATAGACGAACAGCCTGTCACCCCTTGCAGTTTTTCACTAAAAATAATTTACGCATCCAAAAGACTAGAGTGGGCCATTTCCTCTGTGTCCAGTTAACCTCTCTTGATTACTTTTTACGGTGCCCTGTAATCAGTAGGGAAACCAAGCTGTCATTTACAATAAAAGCTTTGGTGATTTTAACCGTACTGTATTTAATAGCAAACAAAGGTGAAATAAATTATCATGTTGCATAAACAATTCAGAGTCAATGAAGTTTTTAAAGTGCAATGACATGATACATTCTTACGTTTTATAAGGATCAAAGTCTTGAAACTCAGGGTGAAATACATAACAACCATTAATGATTAACATACATTTTTACTTATTAACTGAGATAATTTACCCTTCGAGCAGGGGCTATATTTTCTCGGCGTGAGCTGTCGTGCGAAAAGTAGCCTCTGCCGACAACCGTTCAAATCCGTCCAGAAATCTGGACGAAAAAAAAAACGGGTTTTTTCCTGTTCTTGACCGGTTTAGAGGATTGCATGAGTCTTGCGTAGCAGATCAGAGTTGTCGCAATTTTTTTATTCCCCTGAAACTCGCGCCATTTGACGACAGGCCTGACGATTAATTTTGCTTGGGAATCGCGTGACGAGTTTCGCGCATGCACGATAGAAAATTGAACGGTTGTCGGCAGAGGCTACTTTTCGCACGGCAGCTCACACAGCGAGAATTTAGCCTCTGCTCGCATGATACCGAAAATTTTAACCGACTACCCATAAAGTAACTGAATTTTAACCGACAAGTGGCCCCCCTCCCCACCTCCCCCACTCCCCATTCAACCCCTCTAAATAGGCCTTATAACGGTTGGAAAGCCATCTTGACGAGTAGGCAACCGCGTGAGAAATTAGTGTTTGTATGAGAATCTAATGTCGAATAATTCTGAAAAAATATGAATTGTAAACTAAAACTTCACTCCTAACGATTCTACTGAATACTAAAAAATTGGTGGGCGTTACATGCAGTTACATGCGCTAGAACCATTTTATAAAAGTTGTCTCTAAAGATTTCTCTTCCGGCCGACTAAAATTTCCCGGGAAAAATTGCAGACAAATATATGGAAAATCTAAGCAAGCGTCTGGAGAAATTTAAGCGTAGTAACGGCCCCCAAAATTTCTTAGTAAAATCCTTTGCTTTAGTTAAAAATTCATATTTTTTTCATAACAGCCTTTTTACGGAAATTATTCGACGCATTAGATTCTCAATAAACACTATTTAATTATTTATTTATTAATTCATTTAATCAAGTTTCAGATTTACAATTACAATGACGATTAAATCAATCAATCACTCAATCTGAGGTAGGCTTAAAACAAGACTCCTTAAAAATAAGCCACTGTAATTTCTCACGCGGTTGCCTATTGTCAAGATGGCTTCTAAAACCGTGATAAGGTCTATTTCACCTTGACACTGCCTGGAGACAATTCAGCATGACAGACACATTATTTTCCCAGAGACTCAATTTCTGCCATTTGCTCTAGGGCAACCGGGTTCTCCTATTTTCAGCCTTACACAATGCCATCCACTTAAATTAATGAAATAACAGCAACAAAATTAACTGTACCTTTTAACAGTCAACCTCAGACTGTACCTTAAATTTGTGCTTTTGAGCGCTGAAGAGTAATAAAGTTTAAGAAAACACGCTGATCCTATCTGTTGATTAAACTACTTTTATCTATCTAGAAATGATTGGGAGTCGAAGAAGTTTTTAATTTTTCGAAAGTTACAAGCCGGTCCTGATTAATTCGAATGATTCTTCTTAGTTCATCGCTTTCCAGATGCAATTCATGTCAAGAAATGCCTGTTATTTCTGATAAACTACATCAGCGTAGTGCCGGGAGGACTTGAAATGAAAACTTCGGTACCCATTGCCAATACTGGTCACTATATAGTCTAATAACGACACCTGACTGTTTTGTTCAACTTTTTAATGAGCGGTTAAAATCAATTTCCTATGACTAATGGATATAAGCAAATTCATTCATTGTAGTGCTAACAATTAAATTCTCTTTCAATTCATATGGAGAACATTAACAGATGTTATCACCGTGTATGTCTCCCCAAAAAATCGTCTTGTTTGAGACACACCCTTAACCGGGGAGCCTGTGACGAGTAGGCTCCTCCGAGTCGATCAAAAAGTTTGACCAGGAGCCCATCATCATTTGATGGGCTCCTGGTTTGACCGACTATTAAAAGAACTAGAGCTGTCAGGAGAAGGGGTTTGTATTTTTCCTTTAACTTTAGAGAATGGATTAAACTCGCCGCATGCGAATTTTTATTGCTTCCGATAGTTGTCCCGGCATAGTAAATCGAACCCAATCGAACTAAATCGAACTCAATCGAACTCAATCGGTGGATTGAGTTCGATTGAGTTCGGCAATCGAACGAAATGGAACTCACCGAAAAGAAAAAAAATCAATCGAACCCAATCGAACGTTCGATTTTCGAACTCGTGATTTATGTAAAACAGACGTTGAAAATTCATTACCAGATCTTAGAAGCTCGAGTTACTTCAGCCCTGAGTGTAGCGCACGTGTTTTTGGTAAACGAAGAAATTCCGCAGAAATGGCTTCAGATGCGTTGTGGATCGTAAGCTTCAAATGTATAGTCAAAGGCAATAAAAGGGGGTGGTAGGCCTACACGACTTTTACCTCATGCCAAAATGCTGCTTATTCCAATAAAGTTGTTTTTATCTGCTGGGTAGATTATGCTCTGGAAGGTTCTGCATTTTACTGAGCAAATGTGGTTTTAGCCGCATGTTTCACACTGAGAGGGCATGACATATATATCTGTATATATCGATTGACTGTAGTTATTGTTTTCTGGTCGGCAGGATTTGCCCTCTGAAGCAAGCGCATTTTCTTTGACCTCTTTTGAAGCGTAAAGCTTTTTTATTACGGCTGAATAAGGGTTCTAATTTTCTCCAAAGTGCTTTCTGGATCTGATCTAAGCGATTTTCTTTAGTCCGTGAGTGTAATGTTTTTCTGCAATGCTGTTTCACGCTGGGTCCAGCTCGTCAGTTTTCTTTTCACTGAAAGTGTGGTGTTCCCCACGCATTCATCTCTTTGAAAAGTGCCAGTAATATTAGAATAAGAAATTAAACTACTCATAAGGAAACGAAACCACAGCTACCTTTGTCGCGACTGCTCGTATTCAAACTTATGCTTATGTTAACGTTATAATCACAGAAAAGAGCGCAGCTGGGGCCTACATTTTGACTCTGAGTACAATTAATGAAAGGAGAGTCATCCTATAATACCTCGAACGAAATCCATTTAATTGTGTTCGCTTCAGTTCGGTTTCCGAACTCAATCGAACAGAATCAGACGGATTGAGTTCGATTGAGTTCGATTTGTTCGATTGAATTCGATTTGTTCGGAAATCGAACTCACTGAAAGTGTGGTGTTCGATTTCCTTCGATTGGATTCGATTTTCGAACGTTCGATTTACTATGCCGGGAGTTGTACAAGCAATAAAAATTAAGTTCTCATTATATTTCTATATGGTACAAATACACACCAATCAAGTACCAATCAAGAAGTCAGTGCCCTTTTTAGTTAATTGATTAATTTAACAACTTGTAAATAACTATAATATTCTGCTTTGGGTACAATAAATTTGTTGTTGTTGTTGTTGTCAAATTAATGCATTTATAGATATCATGATCTACAATACCATGTACATGCAGAGAAGATCTTGCGAAATGTCATTTTAAGATCTGTTGTCACTCAGGAAGCGTTGGCGTAATATAATATTAGGGTTGCGTGAGATCTAAAGTGGTTTAAGTAATTAAAACATTTTCGAGGTCATTTCAGTTCATCACGTTAGTTCTCAGTGGTCCAAGATGACTGCGCTGAATTCTTCGGATCCAAACTTCGATTTTTACCTTTCGATAATTCAAGACAAAGGTTACTGGTTAACTTTAGTATTCGTTGGATTTTTTGTGGCGTTCGTGATCATTATAGGAAACTCAGTTCTCCTCTTCATAACTTACAAGGATCCTCGAAAAACCCTTCGTACTCCGCCATGTTTATTGATCACCAATTTGAGCGCTTCTGACTTGCTTCTTGGGCTGTTAAACGTTTCTCTCGTGGCGGTGAGAGATGTGTATCGTTTTAAGCAAGTAAATATGCCTTTCCTAGGATTATTTAAGGCCATTATGTATAATGTTTTCATTACAACTATCTTCGTCAGTGGTTACTCAATAGTAGCTATGTCAACAACTTGCTTTGTGGCGATTAACAAGCCAATGGAATATAAGACCATCATTACTAAGAGAAGAGTCAAGATATTCATCGGTGTTTTATGGCTGATTTCTTTGTCGACCTGTGTTCTACCTGTGGCGAACGTGCCTGAGAAAACTTATACCATGATTTATCTTCACACTCACGCAACAGTACCCGCTATTTTGTTGACTGTGATTTACACGAATGTATTCCGCGCTCTCGCGAGACGTACACGTGAAGTTCAACGAGAAGGGTACAACTCTGTAGCGAATAACGCACTGGAACGTGAGAAAAAAATGGTCAATGCCATTGTTATAATTCTTGGATTATTCTACATCACATACATGCCTCAATACATAACTCTTCATCTACTTTACTTCTGCGAATCATGCAAGAAGTCGTTAACTTTCCACATGATTGATGTAGTCTTGTCTAGATTTTTATTTATAAGTTCCGCTATCAATCCCTTCGTATATGCTTGGAGAGTACCGAAGTATCGCCAGGCCTTTCAAGATTGCTGGAAGATGTACCGTGGTAAACTGAGAATTACCTCTCACAAATCATTCGCACTTCATTCGCGTCGTCGAACGTTTTTGGATGGTAGGAGCAGAGCGCAAAGCGATCCAACTGAATCAACCAACCTTTAAATTATTCAATGAGTTATTCTTGTTCTCTCGGAAGACAATATTTCAAGCTCTCTCGTATTTTCTCGCTTTTACTGTAGATTTAAAAATAAAGAAACTGTAGTTATTGCAGTGTACAAGCGGTGGAACGACACAAAACGTGCGTTACTTGTTGTTATCAACAAGAAAACAAAATCTCCACAAGTGGGCCTTTAATTAATGCACGTTGGTAGATCATGGTCACTTCAAAGGATGTTCGGAAAAAGTGAACAAGCAAACTTCAAGGTTATTCTTTGGGTAATTACATTCATTTGGTGAACATTGGAATCGAATAGTTAAGTAGTTTTAAATGAAAAATGCTTTTATAGATCCTGAACCCGTTACATCCTTTTGCCGTATCTTGCACCTTGGTCAGCTAAGCTTCTTAATTCTGACAAAAATCCTTAATACTCCTAAATGTTACTGCTTTAGCAAAAGCAAAATGGCGGGCAAGTCACGTAGCTGATAAAGAAAGATCAATAAACCCAGATAAGAATCAACCTTTTGTTGTTGGCCTTTGGAAAATGACGAACTTCATTATTGTGTTTATTTTTGCTTTCATGTTTTATTTGCCCCTCTGTAGTTGGGAGAACAATTTTATCTGTTTAATGTTGTGTAAAATTTTCTAGGTTATGAACTTTTCCAAAACTGAGAAAGGAATGGAGGAGAAAACTCCTTCTTGTCAGAACTAAGATAACGGAGCGTATAATGAAGTGAAGGAGGGCACACTCGTTAGAGATGACTCGAGACCGTTCTCGCTGGATACCCACTCCTCTTTCGGTTTTTTCTTGTAAGTTCCGCCGGCATGATTGTTGTTTTCTGTAGCCTCCCACGCAAACTATCCAGGCAAGGAATTCAACACGCACCCCCAGAGAGATCTGCCCGGAAGGCTAAATTTCCTACGTAAGGTTACTTGAAATACTCCTCTGTCCCGCAAAGGTTCGGGTTTCCAAAAAAGGGTAGCCTGTTCGAGGCGTTCAGAGAGTGGGGAGCGGTGCGAAGTAAAAAGGAGCGCGAAAAAATACAACTCACCTCTCTCCCCGGTACCCCTCTACTTTTCATCGCTTTCTTTACTTCGCTCCACTATCTGAACGCTTGGAACAGGCTAAAAAAAGGTTCACTCAAGGTAAACTCGCGGGCAACTTCCCACCTGAAGTCGAAATTTTTCCCTAAGCGAGAAGTAAGTGTTAAAGTTGGCTAAGTGAGGGGCAGGTGGGCAGTTTCCCAGGAACCTAAATAGATCCTTAAACTCTGACAGGTGGGATGGATAAGAAAGTGCGGATGGGTGACCAACCTTGAATCTTGTAGACTCTTGTTTTTTTTGTTTCTTTTCTCTCTCTGTCTCTTTTTTTTTTAATGCGCCGATGGCATAACATATTTCGTATAATATTTATATTGTCGGTGTACAGATTGCAGCAGTGGCTCTGTTTCTAGGTTCTTCGCCTACGTCGACATCAAGGATCCTAGAAACGAAGTCAGGCGTTTTACAGTCAATCCTTTTCAATCACTTTACAGTGTTAATACACTTTACCAACTCAGTATTTTGATGAATAAAAGACAAATTTTTGTTCTTCGGGTATCAGTTTCTTGGTATGTGTCTTCACTTGAGTCCTTTTCAATTAGTCCAGTTAGTTTTCTATAAACTTCCTATCCTATCATAGTGAGTTTCCTAGCAGGTGTTTTTTTATATATATTAATGCATAACAAGTTAAGTCTTGAAGCAGTTCAACTTCACGAAAAAAAAGGACACCTTACTTGGTCCGCAATTTATCCTGTAATATTGCCTGAATTATTTCGTTACGGGCTGAAATTTTTACTAAGCCGACTAAAAAAGGAAAACAAAATTGTCTTTCAATTACCTATCAATTCATGACTTAGCATACTTTCTTTATATAGGCCTGTGTCAATACTGGCTGGAATGCGGTTTGGACATATACTAGTCGGCTCCTTTCACTGACAAAAACATCAAATATCATGCCCTCGAGCCAAGGTCTTATTAAAGTAGTATCGTGCATTAGCGCAAGGAAAGCCATGTACAACTCTTCAGTCTTGATGAAAACTTCACTGAAGTTCTTCAAAGATAAAATATCTATCCGGGGTTTTCCTGCAGGCAATTCACAACAAGTTTTGACGCTGCAGCGTTCAGCACTCAACTGTATGTAATGAAAGCTTTCTCGAAAGAATTTTGCCATTAATGATACACTAAAAATATATGATAACTGTGAAATATATCTTATTTTTATGCTCATTCTTGGACAATAGATTTCATGTTGCCTTGCGTCTTTTCATCAATAGATCACAAATGACCTCAAAATGCGTAAAAACAAAAAAGTGCTGGGAGTGTCATGTCTGTCACTGGTCCTTGGTTACTGGTGTCCTTACCTAAGAGAGAATAACGTCATCTGTGATCTAACCTGAGATCAGGCCCAATTCGAGCGGTTCTCATACATTCTCTCTAACGGCTACTGCTGAAATAGGTGAAACGAAAATTGAGTCTGATCTCAGGTTATCTGTGATCTATTACTGAACAGGCGCACGGCAAAATGAAATCTATTCGTTGCATAAAATCCATTAAAAAAGAAAAGAAAAGAATAGAAGAAGAAGAAGAAAAAAAACTTTCCCCGAACCGCAACCATTCGACTTTTGGAGGATTTGTGCCAGCTTAGGCATTTTCCAAGTCACAAACGCTACGTTACGTCTCTGCTTTTTCGTTTCTTCTTTACCTTACTTGTAGACAGTTTCTCCCGAATGCTTTTCAAGGCCTTCTCTTGCTCAAAGAAGAATAATTGTGCAAACATTTTTCAAACTGCGAGTTTCTCGTAGCTATGCCACACGATGCAATTGTTGGAAAGATTTCCTCAAGTCGCCAAGAACTTTTTCGTCTTGTTTTTTTTGTGCTTCGTACATGTAAACAGCTCCTGCTAAGCTTTTTTCGAGACCTTCACTTGCTTAACCCAAAATAATCTCGCAAACATTTTCTGAAAACCACCCGCCATGTTGAACAAAACAAAGAAAACAAGTTTACTGACGTCACCCGTGTGTCTGTACTCTTTAGATCGTGAGCAACGACCAATCATACAATCAGTGTGCGCAGCATTTACTACGTTGAATGATTTTTTTAAATATCATATTTCATAAATTATATACGATGATAATTATACAATTACATTTTATCCTACAGTCTTAAATTCTAACAAGTACTAATGACAGCCTAATATATCAGAGGTAATATTGTCCACTACTTCTTGTAACAGTCCGGTTCTCCTTGCAAACAAGGTCATTACGAATAAGGATACTTCAATCCTGAATTATCGCATGCAATGTATAACTTCCTCCTTACAAATTTTAATAGTTCCTTTATTCTCTGAGAGTCGTGTTATTAATTATAAAAACAATTGTAAAGTAGAGCAGTTCATATTGCAATGTCTTAAGGTAATTTCAGTGACTTTTTTGGTTTCGCGTTCGTTGCTCTTTGCGCGGAATGGTTAGAATATCCTTCTTGTTTTTTACTCTGAGAAAAATTCTCTTGAATCTTTAGCTTGAATCTTGAATCTGACTGCGTTCGCCGTTTGCCGTAAAGTAACCAGACTCTAAATCTACAGATCTCTCTAATATTTGTTCTGTTAACAACCAATACGGAGTTTTATTCAATTCGTTTTAGCACAGACATGTCAGAACACGTTAGTAGCAATCTAAATCAACACATGTTCCCTCTAAGAAAAATTTTACTTACATTACTTCTTGTAACACTGTGTCCGGCTCTCCTTGCAAACAAGGTCATTACGAATAACGATACTAGAATCCTGAATTATCGCATGCATTGTATAGCTTCCTGCTCACAAATTTTAATAGTTCGTTTATTCTCTCGGAGTGTTATTAATTATAAAAACAATTGTAAAGTAGAGCAGCTGTTCATATTGCAATGTCTTAAGGTAATTTCAGTGACTTTTTTGGTTTTGCGTTCGTTGTTCTTTGCGCGGAATGGTTAGAATATCCTTCTTCTTTTTGGGTTCTCAGTTCACTCGAAAGTAAATCTAAGGCCATTCGTGATCGCTCAGCGCATTTCCCCGCACTTGGGAGCCACTTCAACGCACCTGTCTCGTGATTAGACTCTTATTCAGAATAGTTCTTTTGTAGGACGTTCCACGACTCCTAAACGACTCCTTCGATTTTGGTTTCACGACAAATTGTGCCCCAATTACACAAACTAATCCAACGTCAGCTAACGTCTGCAGTGTACCGATGTCCTAAGTCATTTTATCAAATGAGGCCCGGGAATACCGTAAAATTCTGAAAATAAGCTCCTCCAAACATAAGTCCCCCAAACACGCAACGCGAAAACGCCTCCGTTTAATCGCCCCTCCGAATATAAGCCCCCGGGGGCTTGTTCTTGGAAATTGCCCTCAAATACAAAGTAAAACAAAGCAAAAACGGTAAATTTCCTTCCAACTATAAGCTAGCCCAATCAATTTTGAAGCGCAAATTTTCCTCCGTTCATAAGCCCCTCCAAAAGTAAGCCCCTCAAAAAGGGTCTTTGAGAAATATAAGCCCCGGGGCTTATTTTTGGGGGCGTGATTTTCCAATCGCCATTTTCAGTCTTGATACGAGACATAAGAAATTTAGAATTGAACTGTAACACTTTATTTCACTGATACCCATTCTAGATTCAAAGTGCTTAAAAATACGCATGCTTCTGTCCCTTCTATGCTCATAACGTAAGTTTGTAGAGTCGAAAAAAACCCAGTAGTTAATCTGTGTATTTCATATTTGAACTATTTGCAAGCAAAAACCAAAGTATTTTCAGGCTAAAATTGTCTCCTCTAAGCAACAAAGTACTATGATAACAGAGAGATTTAGAGTTAAGTTTACGGAAAACTAGACTGTTCACAGTCCTCTATTTTTCCGCAAGATCATTGAGATCGAGAGCTTTGCGTTACGGGCTACCCATCTTGCATGAGTGTCAAAACTACTTACGGGGCCGGGGC